TATGTACGAATGTCGTATATGTGTATCGATATGTCGATCGATTTTAGTTCGTGTTCGTGGCTGCACGTTCTGCAGCAGATGCCTTGTCGATGCGCAACAAGGCCCGGGCAACAGACATGCCCACGTCCTTGAAAAGATCATTAATGATCGACTCGCACGCTCCCGGAAACCCCGGCGGCTTGGTCTCCTGTCGTCCCATACCCGGGGAGATTCGGTCGATGATCTTGCCGAAGGTGAACTCAATACATTCTTCGATCATCTTCATCTTGTGGCGGAACACCAGCAACGACTTGTCCACGGATCCACCAAGGGCCGTGTTCAAGGCAACTGCATTGCTATCTGGATAGGCGCGAAGACGTTGAGCGGGACGGTCGCAGGCGCCCTCATCATCAGCATCCCGATGTCTCTTGAGAGGATTGTGACCCAGAGAGGACTGGTGGAGAGCCATAGACGATGACCGCGGAGCCATTGCCTGCGAGGGGGAGCTGGTTCTTTCCTCCGCCAAACGCTGGGCAGTTGTTTGACCGAGGCGGTCCCCGACTCCCAAGAGCGACCGGTGCGTTTGCTGCGGGGTGGTATCTCGGCTTAGTGGGCGAGCGAAGGCAGCGAATACATCACCCCGTGTTCGCCCTGGAGCGGCGGCGACCTTCGGTTCTTCGCCCCATATCGCCATCTGCTCCATCTCCTCCGGGGGTGGGAGATTCCGGAGCCAGGTATATACCCGGTTCAAGGTGACTACCATATCGTGTTCAGGGAGGGTAATCCGCGCCGCGGGCTGGGCCGTGGTAGTCTCCTTGTGCACGGGTGCAACGACCGGAGCAACGGGTTTGGGCTTGGTCCGCACCTCCTCGGCCAGGCGGTTCTCAGTGTACTTGGCCCGGTCAATGTCGCTGATCCAATGGTTCAACAGGCCGAGGACTTCCTTGGGAATGTCGATAGTCGGATGGGGGCGACCTTGTCGGAAGGATTCATAGTAAGCGGAGCGTTTGGCGACATAGGTGTAGATGCGACGACGACAGGATTGCCAGGAGTAGCGACGGCCGGTCCGCATCTCGAGGGTGTTGGCAATCTTGATCCAGAAACTCTTTGGGTAGGCGTGGGCATCGTAATCATCCATGGAGGCGGCACATAGTTTGACAAGACATACTTGCTCGGGAATGGTGAGTTGTTTGCCGCGACCGGGGTGGGTGGGTTCCATGGGCAGAATGGGTTTGTCGACCGAGGTGGATTGAGAAAGGGACTGCGAGGGCGAATCTTTATTCATGATCAGGGCAGTAGCGGTGGCGGTAGCGGTGATGGTGGTGGTGGTGGTGGTGATAGGGAGAGTGATGGGGTCGGGCTTAATGGCGGCCGAGGACTGCGAGGGGTTGATGATAATCTGAGATTGCGGTGTGCTTCTTCCCCATAAGGAGTGATCGGGCCGCACGGGGTTCAGGACCGTAGTTCCGGAATACTCCATTTCGGAGAGATTGATCTGGTAAGATTATCTCTGATCTCTTCTCAAAAAAAGACACACACCGCACCAAGCACACACACACGCACACAATATCCTTGGAGAAGTGAGGGAGGGCAGAATGGCCCCTGATGGGGGGAGGAAGGGAAGAAAAGGAGAAGAGGGAGGAGGGAGGGAGAAAGGATGGAGGATGAGAAAGGGAAAGGGAAAAGGAAAAAATTAGAGGGAAGGATCAGGAGATTTCCAGTTTGGCCGCCGCCGCTTTCCCCAAACGAAATTACATGAAAATGGAAAACGAATAAATGGAATAAATAAATAATAACTAATTAATGCCTGAAAGCAAAAGCAAAAGCATAAGACTAAAGACAGGCAGAGAGAGAGGCAGAGGCAGAGGCAGAGGCAAAAAGTAGCAAAAGCCGAGCGGCGAAAACCGCGCCGCGTCCGCGTCAGCCCACGTGATCGGCGGTCGGCGGGTTGATTTGATGATTTGATGATTTTCTAATGACTTCGAGGGTCAAGTTGGGTCGAAATCAACCGATCTCTTAATTGACTTACTCATGTCCGGACTTAAGGGAACCGGACAAGCACTCAATCAGAAGACAGCGTCGCATCTTTTCTTATTATCGAGTGGTATAATCACGAATTATGGACCTAACGGCCTGACCGGTTGTGTTCCGACGCCCCCTCCCCACCTTCAGAAAGCTTCATGCATAAAGAGCCGTCCTACTCCGACTACAGTACTGTACAGTACTGTCTGTACTCTGCCTGCACATACAGTCCACACATCACACATCATATAACCTGTTTGGGATATCCCCATTGTTGTCTCGGCTGAACGCTGGATTGTTGCCTCGCATCTAAGTCCTTCTTTATCCACGAACCTCGGCTCGTTAATCAAATCAAATCAAAAAAAAATCTCTTCTCCGAGATGATCTCCCGCATTTAGTCTTTGCAGCCCAGAACCTGAATCGACTCCCGATCTGCATTCCATGGATCGTGGTTGGGCGCACGGCGGAATTCCGGGAGCATTCAAGAAGGTGTCAATAATAATGCCTGGTCTGGCACTGGTTCTTTCACTTCAGTCTAAGTGTCGTCATTCCAAATTCCATCCATGCTAGTCGCCCATGGCTGGTCCTTCGTCTTTCACGAAGCCGACGAATCCCCTCCTACAGGTTGTAGGCTTTTGACAGGGTGGTACAAATCCATGCAGAGTCGAAGACACAATGAGCTACCCCCTCTTCTCCAATACCCCGGACTGGTCGGGGTTCCTATATGAACCACGTTGAATCCAGAGTTCGGCTCCAGACAGCCCAGGCGATCGGTTGCTCTTTCCTGAAGACACGAACGAGTCCGCACGCCCTCCTGTCTCTGCAGCCGCCAAATCTGCCCCAGTAGCAACAACTTCGTACTTAATACCATTGACACCGGCGATCAAACCAGCTCTCGTTGAACACCAATATGCCACCGCAATCCAAACCTAGTTTGTTGGAGGTAGTGTCATCCGTAGCGCCTGTACCAGGGACGCGAGGTCAGTTCACCGTCACAATCACTCGAGATTGGTGCACTCAACAGTATGTCTATCCGACTGCTGCTGCTGCGCGCGCGCATTTGCGAGCGCCTCAACCTTCTCCACTGAGTTGAGTTGACCCGAGACAGTTCTGTTTTGGGAGGATTCTCCGCGGCGGTCATGTTGTCCGCTGGTCGGAAATTTCTCGAACAGGAGCTGGGCGATGGTCTTTATCCCGACCCCGTGCATGCCTTTGTGCAGTTCCTCCGGGAAGTCCACCCAGGCGAGTGCACCATTACCTGTGCCATCTCACGAACCTCATCTCGACGATGCGTCGTCACGGTTGAGTTGAAACGTGCTGCTGCTGCTTCTTTAAAGGACCAGAGAGAAACCCCGAACACAACAGGATCACCATCACTTATAACCACTACCCTCGGCGTTTTCACTTATGCCGATATCTCCAAAGAGCAAGGCCTCACCCTAGAGCCCCCGCCCGCATCAACGAAAGTAGCAGCAGCAGCAGCAATTAGACTACCATTACCCAACCGACAAACAGAATGCACCACCATCGACAACCCCGTTGTCGATGCCACTCCGGTAACCCGCAAGATGCATTGGGTTGCACCCCGCTCCGCCAACGGACTCTGGGGCCATCGTCTTGGGGGACACAACCGCGAAGTCTGGCTCTCCTTCCGCGATGGGACCAAATTCTCCGACATTCTACATCTAGCATACCTCTCGGACCTGGTCAGTCTAGTTTCCTCCCGCCCCACCCCTCGTCCTTTTCCAACCCCAACTCTTTCCCATATATTGTCACCAGAGAAACCCCCCCACGTATACATTCTTCAAACACCTAATGTGAGCAAATCCACATCCCCCCAAAATATAGCCCCTCCATCCCGCAGCAACCCATACCCCCGACTTCTACGCCAAGCACGCCATCTCCACCCTGTGTCTGTCGATCGAGTTCAAGAGACGGCCCGATCCGGCCACGGAATGGGTTCTGACCCGCTCCACCTCGTATCAGATCGCGCGCGGTCGCTACGATGTGAGCCTGCAGATCTATGATGAGTCCGGTGCGCTCCTTGCGTTGAGTCAACATGTGGTTTTCGTCACGGATCTGAAGCCCGTGTGGGTGGAGGGAAGGTTGTGAAGGGTGTGTTATGGCAGGGGGCAGGGATAAGACAAGGGGGACGACTTCGGGGGGGGGAGGCGTAACCTTGGTAGGTTGATAAATATGGCCAGGCTGGTATTTTGATTATTGATCGAAATAAAATTATGCTGGATCGTGGTCTTCGAAGCATGAGGATGTTGCAAGTTGTCTTTCTTGATGCTGGAATACAGCCGGCCATGGAAGCATGGTCAATGATACCTTGTGATGTAGGTACCCAGTCACTCTGAACTGGATTGGCAGCACAGAAAAAAAATACGAATCCAGAATTAGAAGTGTAGCAGCCGATTACTTTATTACTAAGGATCTTATTTTACTCTGTCAACATTCCCTCCTACTACTCTTAGGTCTCGATTGAAATACTTCAGGTCGATTCGATGATCATACTCCAGATTGGGGCGGGTAGGGCTCAGGGCTCGGGGCTAGGGTTTTGCTTGCTTGCTTGCGTGCTCGACTCATGTAAGTTAATGCTAGATACGGAGAGTATATTTGCATATCTTCTACATAGAAACTCACAAGATTGGCTTTTCGGACCATGCATGAGCATAAGATGCAATTCTTTACACACATGAACTGGATGAACCTTGAAAAGTCAGTCAGCCGCCGCAGCAAGCATGTCTTGTTCTAGACCCATGCACCGATGCATGGAGACAAGCCGCCATATGATCTATCAACTGTCCCCCGCTCGCCGCCCATTGCCAGCTGTAAAGACTGACGCCGGCTCAGCCACACACGAAAGTCTTTCTCTCGTCACTTTCTTGATTACTGTACGGGGTGGGATGGCTGATAGTTTGAACAACATTTCCAGAATAGAAATACAAAACGTGTAGGGGGTAAACAGGGAGAGCCGGAGACAATCCCTCCTAAAGGTTGGAACATCGAAGCGTAAGAACACGAAAACGTAAGATCCTAAACGACATCACCACCAAGATACGACCCAGACGGGACCGAGTCCAACAGATGATCGAACGCAAAAACATGACCGTGTAACCGCTGCTGAATGTCATCCATGGGATGGAAACCGGAGGAGTGATGAAGACCGACACTGGATGACGACGCATGGCCGCCGTGCTCGAAGCCAGAGATGGTCGGCAGGGCAGGCACAAGGGCCTTCTGCGCGCTCTTCTCCGACCGGGCGTTGCCATGTCTAGTGGAACTGAGCGCAGAGACACCAGGACCACCGGTGGCAGGAGAGTCCACGATCATGAGGTCGTTGGGCTCCTTGACTGGGGTGATGAGCCCGTAGTGCACTGCTTCGCTACTCTCGCGCTTGAACGTCAGACCCTTCTTGTCCTCTTCCTCGGTGTTATCTTCTACAAAGATCGCCTGCACGAGCGAGCCGCCATGGATGGTAGGGGTACGGGTACTGCTACCGCCCTTCGCGGGCCTGGTCGGCGTCTTCTGCGAGATAGTACGGCTGTCTCTGCGAGCGCGGGACGATGATGGAGCGGGCTGGCTGGCCTTGGTCACGCCGTTGCGGGGTCCTCGAGGGGTCCGCGGGGTCAAGATGCCAGACGAGCTGTTGCGAGCCCGCAGCTCGGTGAAATTGATGCCTCGCGAATCCAGCTCGCCGCGAAGCTCGTCGGCCATTTTACGCCATTTCCGGAAGCGGCCTTCGATGGAGTCGTAGCTTGCGCCCTGCCCGAAAGCTGTTGCCATAGCCTTATAATCCAGCTGTAGTTGTTTCAGTCAGATCGAGCCCTTGGGGTTGCTGATGGTGGAGGCGGGGCACTATACCTTCAGGCCGGGGTGGGCCACAATCAACGATGCGAGGAGCCGATCGGTCGACTCCGGAGCCTTCCAGTTGACCATCTTGTCACAAGGAAGTAAGAGCTCTAACAGAGAATGCTTGTGATTCGAGTCCAAGGAAGCTTGGGATGCAAACGCACTGGGTTGCCAGATCAAACAAGACCAAAGAACAGAGGAAGAAATGTGCAACAGCAGATGAAGTGTCTGACCGCCGAAATGAGAGAGCCCCAATCCTGTATTTATTCACAGTGCAGGACCAAGAATCCGGATGCCCTCCAGTCAGATCACAAGGGCGCTAACAGATTCCTCCAGCAACCGAAACGGGGCTGTCAAAAGTCCCTCGAAATTGTACTGTGATTGAGTGGATGAGATAGGTAGAGATCCTTGTCCACTGGCGCTTTCTGTTTGTCGGGGACAGGCGGACGAGGCAGGGATTGTACGATGCTGTGTCGCAGCGTAAGACTTTCACAATTCGACGTGTAGAATGAAGCTGGCTGAGAAAGGAGAATGATAAGCACACAGGGTCTGGAACGGGGGCAATGGCGTAGCGTGCTGTACCTTTGTCACAAATCGGATGTATACAAAGTGATCAGTCAAGATGCAGGAATCCCGGTCGGAGGAAAGGCTCAAACAGCGGCTGCAAGCAAGTGGATTCCTGCAGCACAAGAACAAACTTCAAGCAGTAACACGTCCTCGAATCCTGTTAAGTTATCGAGGAAATCGAGAGTGAGAGAACACTGCAGACTGTGATGCAAACAGTGGGGGGTGGGAAGTTGTCGAGGGCAGGCTGAGAGTTGTAAGTGTTACCTGAGCTGCTTACCCACTAAGACAGGTTCTGGTCACTGTTACCTGCGAGGCTGGGATCATTCACTTGAGCCTGGAGGTAGATATCTCTAAAGTTAATAGACTAGAGATTTTCTTCTGGTTCTAAAATCCTTACTATATACTCTTATCCTTTTCTGTTCAACTTAACAACTCCTCAAATCTCTTCTTCTCTACCTTGTCTCTTACTCTTTCAGATTCAAATCTATCATCCAGTCACCTGAAGTCCTTGATTGGTAAAACTTATACCTCATCAGATAGTACTTACAGCAGTCCTCTTTCCACCCTACCTTGCCTACATACGCAAAAATGCGCTGGACTCCTGAAGCTGATCAACTTGTATGTCCTCTTTAGTCTTTGTCTCTCTCCATTCCCGATTCCTATTTCCCTCAAGCAGCTAACATCGACATAGCTTCTGCTGAAGATCGTCGAGACGCACAACCTGTCCGTGAACTATAGGAAGGTAGCGGAAGCATGGCGTAAGCCCCCCCTCCCTTTCCCAGCTTGTCTCTACTCGTCCTCAGTCTCCCTGAAAAACCTACTCTGCTAACCACGAACTTTCCCCTTCATACCCAGCCGTTGCCGCAGGAGAACTCCCCCCTACACCTCGAGCCATCAGCGAGAGGCTCGTCAGAATCCGTAATCTGGCAGGCACAACCGCCAGCAGCACCAGCAAAGGAAGCAATCAGGACGACAACAACCCCATCACCCCAACCGCCACCCCTCGCAAGCCCCGCAAGAACAGCGCACCCGCTACGCCCAGCTCCACCAAGCGGAAGCGAGAAACTGCTATCAAGGCAGAGTCCATGCCCGCGGACTCCCTCATCAAGAGCGAGGCGGGAGCCGCGCCCTCTCCTATCAAGATAGAAGCTCTGAACCCCTTTGGCATCGACACCCACATGAGGGACACCACCCCAACGAAGAAGACCCCTCTCGCTCATACTGGGATGGGTGCGGCGAACCAGCTGTTCGCGGGGCATACCCTGTATCAGACGCATGGAGTCGCGGCTGCTGCCCACGTCGAGCAAGATACCCCGTCCAAGAGAGTGCGTAAGCCGGCTGCTCCGGCGCCGGGGATGGTCAACTGGACGACGCACCACCACTTTGGCAGAGACGAGCAGGAGGTGGATGTTGAGAGCTCGGCCTCGGAGTACTGCCCGGAGAATGAGATGGTTGCTGCGCCTCGCGGTGCGATGATGAACTATATCTAGAGGGCGGAAATTTATTGAGATGGTGACTGGGAGCGGCAGGTTGCGTTTTGGTTTTTCTTTTTCTTTTTTTTCTCCATCTCGAGTTAAGACCAGACTGTTCACAATAATTTGTCTGTATGTACTTAAGAGGGCGTTTTATCGAAAGTTCTTACGCAATGAGACTTAGTACTGCTTGTTCTAGCAATGATGCCACTTTCACAAGAATGAGATAGTTACAAGAACTGCAATTACAGCTTGATCATCAAGATCCCACCAGTGCCTATCCCCCGTAGAACTAGAACCCCCCAACCTAGAACTGCAATAAAACCCATCTCATATCTTCGACATTCCGAAGCACAACCCAGCTTCGCCATCCCCACAATAAAGTTGCAGCTCCAGAGCCAGATTAAGTACATCACAAAAAGATCAGACCCGAGATCTAGGAAAGCGAATCAGATCGCCTCCTGCATGTAAGCATCCTCGATACTCTGGTACACGGGCTGGGATCCATCATTCGTGTCGATCGTTGCATGCGGAGCCTCCTCTTCCATCTCTTCAGCTTTGACCTTCTTAGCGCGGCCTCTCTTCTTCGGAGTCATCGGCGCCGCCTCAGCGCTACCATCGGCTTCCACCTTCACCTTGGGAGGTCTTCCTCGCTTCCTCGGCCCAGAGGCGGGGGTGCCGTGAGCGGAGGCAGGATCAACGCCGCCGGTGGAATCCCTGGTAGGGGTCGAGGGAAGGGCGGGAGGGCCGTCTGCGGCGGTGGGTCCGGACCTGGCGCGCTCCCTCAGGCTTCGGAGGCGGTGCTGGATAGCGTAGATAGTACATTCTAGTTTCAGGGTCACAAGGTTTAGTTTGGCTTGCGGGCTTTCTTCGCCTGGAGGGCTCTGAGGTTTTGGAGGATAGAGAGGACATACCGGGACCCATGAGCTGGGCGATACGGGGATAGTCGAGCTTCGTGTTGATGGTCTGCAAGATGGCTGTAAGTAGCTTTGACGTTGATCGGTTAGCTGTGTGGCTGCGAGCAGTAAAGACCAAAAGAGAGAGAGAGAGAGAGAGAGAGAGAGAGAGAAGACAGGCACGTACCTTAGCATCTGCCGCCTCGTTCCATGTCATAGGCATCTTTGCGATGGAGTTTGGGTTTTGTTTTGATAGACTATAGTGTGGCTTAGAGTGATTTGATGTCGATGTAATAGTTCTAGATAAGTTGAAGATGGGATATGTGTGGTTGGGGTAAAAGGTAGAGAGAAAATATTTTGAGGAGACAAGTAGACGAAGAGATAAATACACAAGAGCCGATAGAGAAAATAAAAACTGGAAACAAAGTGTAAAACATTCTAGGCCGGGGTGTTATTCACTTATAGGCCGAGTACCAGTAGGTGTTACTGCCTAGCAACCAGTGCATTTATAGTAATACTCTACAGAAACTGGATTAGTCAATTCCATGCCGCGAGAATGATTTGCTGGCCTGACCATGACTACACCTGGTTATGAAGTAAATATGTAGGAAGAGAGACCCTGCTTCTTACTCTTAGGCATAGCAACAGCTATTCTCCTTCTAGTTCCCTCGAGATTTTCTCCTCCCGGATGAAGTATGCAGTGCACAGGCAAGACAAATCAGATGACTATCGAGGCTAATCAAGTAGCTGTCTTCGGTTGTTCCAGAGTGACTCTTCTAAGTAGAGAGCCTCATCAATAACGGACGCTTCTTGTAGTATGTGCTTATGACAATGCTACCGTTCATCTTTCTAGAACTAAAAGTTCGACGGTACCCCAATGTCCCCAGCACTTTCCCTTTCGTGTGTCCAGCAGCTGTACAGATATCAGACCACATCTGAATTGGCCTCAGAGACGACACAGAAAAGTTTGATGATGTATATGATGGTGATTTACTCCAAGTACGTGCGGTTAAGTAGGTGCACTCTTTTACCTCAACATAGAAAGTCGAAACTGCAATCTATGCTCCAGGACTCTGGGGATACCCCCTCAACCTTTACTACATGTCTGGTAAGTTGAAATTTCGATTATGGTGCCGCTCTGAAACGCACGGTAGATATCACATCCACCAGATCTCGGAGCTAAACGGTGTGTATAGGCTTCTGGCCATAAACTGCGACGCTAAAGTAAGCCGGGGCGATGATAAGTCAGCATTAGCCCACCGGAAAGGAACGCGCATGACTTACACTTCAAAGTAAGCATGAATATTTGGATCCCGCAGGCCTTTGCGCATTTGAGCCAAGAAAACCTGCACTTCCGCGAAGGTCCACTAAGATATATGGGGATGCCGTCAGCGCCTATCGTCCCATATGGTTTCCAGTACGCGACTAGCGCCAGCTTCATCTCGAGGACTCGAGATGAGATAGACATCGATGAGTATCGAGATCTCGTCACGTACCTTCATTACCCGCGTAAGCAACGCCATAGCCCAGCCCTCAATGCCATGCTCGCAATGAACTAGATTCCATATCCCGAGACTCTTCAGCTTTTTGTCTCTGCTCCACGGACCCACCGGCAACTTGTACCGGTGCTCAACAACATTCTGAAAGCCTGCATCTCGCATATAGCCAGCCGCTAGCTCGGCAATGCGGAAAGTCTTCCCTAGTTTCTCACCGGCCTCGATGAACGTCTTCGACCAGATTGATAACACATGGTCCTCCGTTAATGTCTCGTCGTCTGATCGGAATTGTATGGACATCTCGAGTTGATCGAAACATCCTCCAGGACGCAGATGTCTGAGACAATATTAAACAAGCTCTCTCAGATATGGTGGCAGAAAGTATAACAGAACGTAAAGGCTTTACCTAAGGGCTTTGCGGTAGAATTGTGGCCAGTCCGCAATTGCTCCGTACAAAGTACGGGTATGAATCAGATCGAAGTAGTTCGCAGGATAGATCCAATCCTCCGACGCATCATCAATCACGAATTGCAAGTTAGGGGGGATGAAGCTTGGCTGGATGGGCGACAGATCCGTACCGATGACTTCGGCAGAGGGGTGTTCATCCGCGAAATCACTAATCACAGTACTGGTCAGAATGCCGCGTCTCACCCAGGCTGCCTCGACACGTACATGGCCCAAATACCAGTACCGGTGCCAATGTCAAGTGCTCTCTGGGTACATTGTGAGCACAATACGGGTCGTCTGGTAAGGATGATGTCTTTGAAACTAGCTCAACATACCTGAATGCTATTCCCGGTGGGCGCTAAATGTAACCTGCCATCCAGCAATAATGTAAACATGTGGTGGCTGTTGCATAGTGTCAACGCGGGTTAGCGATTTCCCGACTCCACTACTCACGCGATATCTAGCTGTGTATTCTGTTGATCATCATTCGGGGCCCTAGCAAGATGAGGTCAGGTTCATACAATTAGTGATTAGGAAGACATTGGCTGCTGTGCTCACCAATAAGCTCCGTCCTTGTATGCATGGTATCGTCGTCCATTCTCATAGCGATACGTTGTTATTTCGGAATTCAATGATGTGGTATCGCTCGCGCTATGGCATTGTGCGCTCATCAGTCGTGAACTCTCATCGTATCCAAGTAGACAGCTACTTACAGCTCCTCCGCATAGTCTGAAAAGTCGTCATCAAGCCCCTGTTATGAGCTGAGATAAGCGAATGGCTGACGAACACATAAAAGAACGAGATGCTAGGCTTGTAAGTGCCAGCACTCTTGAGCACTCACTGAATTCAAGATATCGTCGTCGTCATGACTTTCTCCTGGGAAGGCAGTTTGGGGAATGGCACTTGGAATGGTGAACGAAAGCGTGCTAGCCTGTACCAAGTCTGCGGTGGGAGGTATCTGGTGCATGGAGAGAGGCCATGCCATGGTGAAGCTTGAAAGACGTGGTGGTAGTGGTGATGGAGCAGGAAGGATTGATGTACCGATAGACACGTCCAGAGTCTACGCTCTGAATGAGACGAGCACTGATCACCTGGTGAACTCGGGGTCGGCGCCTCCCCTGTGGCGCTTGGTCCGTGATTTTAAGTTAGAAAACCCCCCATCCCTTAGTGGATTGGCGGTAGGGATAATGCACCTTGATATCTCTAGCCTTTAAAGACCACAAAAAAATCGCCTCGATAAAGCACATGCGATTGGCCCCATTCCATAAACAAGAAGTGGATATCCCGCGCGTCCCCGGCGCGACATGTGGGGAAACCCACCATCATTTGGACAGGAAACAAGCGTTGAACCAGATACGAATGGACTCGACTTGCTCCTAGCAGACAATGCTCTTGAGAGCTAGTGGTCTGGAGTGACAATCATTGGGTAGGCGTGGATGCAAGGCGTTTGTTCGTGTGGCGTGTCTTCTGTTCGTTTCCTTGACCGGTGTGGGTTCTCCGAAGCAGTATTCCGTACAGGTAGTAGACACAGTTGAAGTCCACGGTACTCCGTACTTTTGCCCGGCTACATTTCTTAGCTCGCCGGCCAGAGCTGCATTTTGATTCGGCGCGGAGAACAAATCCTGAGTTCTCCGCCGGTAGTCAGGCCGATCATATTCCAATCGTGGGATCTAATGCATCATACCTATCACCCACAGCTCGATCTATAAGGTGCTACATTGCCTCATTTCTACTATGCAGTTAGACTACGTTGATCCATGGACCTTTTCGGTCTTGCTGACCGCAGACGGCGGGGGAACAGCACAAAACGGAATATGCCTCACTTGCGCCTTGGGCACATCTTTCAATCATCAGCTACCTATATACCAGCGCTTCATGCTCAGTCGCTACACTTTTATCAAGCGTTCTCCTCCAAAAATGCGAATGCGCATGGGTTACCCCAGGTATCGCACGGCAGAAAACGCCATGATCCAGAATGCTTGCCGGAAAAGAAGTAGTGAACAAACCATGCCGACAGCGGTGGCATGGCAGGCCACTGATTGCCTCCTTCAAAAGTGATGTCGCGAAGCCCCAGCACCATCGGAGGCACCACATGCTGCAATCGAGAGTGTCAGAAACCCGGTGGAATGAGTAAGGGGCGAGAAGCACAAGGATAGTAAGTACCTTATCCTGCTTGCCTGCATCGGCCTCGCATTCCTTGTAGATCTCCAACAATGCGTCCCCGTCATACGGTTCCATAGAAAGTAAACTCGAGATTTCATCGCTCAGATGCTGGCGGAAACTGGGTGCCATCTCCTCAATCAGTTGACGGACCACAGACGCCTGGTAGTGTGCCGGCTGTGTCTTGCTGCTGTACTCCAAGAGCTTCTTCAACAAAGGCTGGAAGGAGTGATGTTGCTCCACGTTGGTTTCAAGGAAGTTGGGAACACCGATGACTCTTTCAAATCCCGGGAACATCTTCTCCTCTTCGAGGACGTGATGATGCGATACCCAGCCTGCCCACGCGTAAACGAAGAAGAGAAAGTCGGAGACATCCTGGGGCTTTTGAACGGACGATGCCTGGAGGTAGATGCTGTTCAAACCTCTCAACATGCTGTTGTGGGCAAAGGCCATTTCGTTCGCGATGTAGACGGCGGGATGTTCTGACTGCAGGTGCTCATTAGCACGAGACTTGTAGCCTGGAAGAAAAGGAAAGAAACTCACAACATTCCGGGTCTTTGAAGGGGTCTCGATCAGGGGCCAGGGCCCGTCGGCCCAAGGACGAGCTGGCTCAGATGTAGTGACCATGGTGCGATCGACAAGAAGTCAGTAGTAGGTAGCATGCTGGCTTGATCGAGCTCGACGGGCAGCCGTACTTATATACACAGTTATAAATAACAGTGATTAGGCTGAAGGTTGAGCAGAAATACTGATCACTTAGAGCTGGACATGCTTCCAGGTCCTGGAAAGTCACCGCGTCAAACATGATGTAGTGCGGTGACCCGTGATCACAAGAGGCGCAAGCGGTCAAGCAAGCAGTGGGCGAGCAAATATATTTCAGAGCCATGCATTAGATGGCTCGTTTATCGTAAGCTTTGATTAGACTGCGGCAACAGAGCACTCTAGCTTGTCACCGACCGTAAGCCATTCGATAGCACAAGTTTTCTTTGTCCAGCCAACCCTAGCGTGGTCGATTACTTGCTGGAAGAGTAAGCACTACGATACACTACGTGCGTTTAGATCTGTTGACCCTTGCCAGTCACTATGCCGGCGTGCTCATATCTACGCGGTTCAAGACCAGCTGTCACACATTAGGCGGAGAGCTCCGTGAGTGCGAGTAATCTGAGATTGTCGTATAGGGACAAGAAGCAAGTCTATACAGTTGACATTCCCAATGAAGCCTGCATTGAGCCTCTCCAGCGCGACTGTCTAGGGCGACTAGCACGTGGATTATAACCTATACCCGGCTTGCACGGCCTCGATCACCTGTCGCTCGGTATTCGCGAACAAGTCTCTCCACCAATACTTCGGTAACCTCTAGCGTTATCATCGATGTTTTGGGTGCTTTTCTCCAAACCAGGATATGGCTGAATTCGGGAAGAGGCGTCCTAGAACATCAGCCGATTCGAGTGGAGCCCAGATTGTGTATGAGGTTCACTACTCTGCGGAGTACGGGCATTTTTCATGTCACTCATGTCACTGGACCAAGTCGCAGCGTCTCTGTCAAGCAATAAGCCAGGATCTCAGGAGGGGGAGCGAATCGCTTCGACTCTGGCGACGTCTTGTGCTCGGGGCTGTTTCAAGAGTAAGTAACACGACTAGGTCATGAGTTATTGTTCATGGTTGATGGCCAGTCGATGACGGATATTCGCCCCTATCTGACATGGACATCCTGGTGAAACAGTGCTCGTCGGAAGACAGCCGCTGTATGCGACCATGGGGAGAGGAAGGTATATTCGCCAATGAACCGAAAGTCGAAAACTGGGACAGCTCCCAATGCGAGTCTGGCTTAGAGGTGCAAGCGCAATCCGCAATGAGCAAGCTCTTAGCTCACTAGAAAGTGAGGCCATTGTTCACGAGAATGTGTACGGAGTAGACAATCAAAGACATAGGGGGAGAAGAGGCCGGGAGGGGGGGGCATTCACCGCCTTGCCATGTCAGTGTCAATCTGTCAGGAGAAGATCCAGCGAGGGGAAAAGAGGGAGAGGAAAGAGGGAAACTCCCCGCTTTTCCCCTCCCCACCTTGACCGTCATGGTCTCACATCGCTTGTAACGTCGTTACGGGTCATCTCCTTACTTGCCAACTCACCTGACTTCAGATGGAAGCACCAGCCACCAACTACGCGCCCCTGTGAGACTGGCACTCCAACCGTTGACACCCGTCAGCGGCCCCCGAACCTCTCCTATGCCAAGCACTCAGCCCTGCAAGGCGACGGAAGGGAAAGCAAATAACGATAACTACCTTACCTCTTACCATTATTGACAGCAAACAAAACCAAATCAACCACCTCCCTCTCACGAGGAACGGAAACTCAGCCACCCGACGGGGGCAGCCTTACGCCACTTTTCCCAGATCACGACTCTCCATCGCACTCAGTAGTAGTACTAACTTATTCTTGGCACAGTCCTTCAAACCAATATCATTGCAATCACTTGTGGGGATTGTGGCTGTTCCGGAATCAAGGAACCCCACTATCGACGGAGTCAGACAGGCAGGGTCCCGCCATACAATGATTCTCAATCGCTATACCAAGACTTCTGCCTAAACAGCAAATGCCCCCCCCCCATCAACCCGTCTCGATACCCCCCGAAACCGGCAGACAGAGAGCAGCAATAACGTCACGTCTCACCTGGCCCGTTGCTTCAGCCCGCGCAGGCGCCGAGGGGGGGGCCAGAGGATGGGATAGCTTTCAGGGTCCATTACTGCTGAATTGGCCGCCAAGAGGGACTAGGTGCGCGAGTGGAAAGGAGGGAGGGGGGCCGTGGTTGTTGTGAGGATTTTCTACGGTGAAACAATAGTGCTCATGACAGGTGGCCGATACTCATATGAATAGTACCCATTTCGCTTCTTGAGACATGATACTATCTAATGATATGGTGAAGAAGGCCCGCTCCAGGCAGAGAAAAGCATAGAAGAAAAACAACAATGCAATCCCAGAAAGAGACACATAGCTTTCCATCTGCTTGTTTTTGTTTGTTTGTCTTTTTCGTAAGTGGCTTGATGATTGAATACAGTTTGCTTATGGTTGCATTGCAGCTTCTGATACATGTAGTGTATGCGCATACATCCATCCATCCATACATCCCTACAACCCACCACACACTGAGACGAGAGGGAGGGGGCCCCCACGGAAGATCCAACAGGGCTTCTAGACTAGTAAGTAGCCCGATGTCCACTCAATCGCGCGACAAAGCTAACTAATGAGACCAAGAAGCCAAGTATGGCAGTAACAGTCTTGGATGATGGAGGGGTGGAGGGGAGGGCAAGTAGATCAGCCCCTTTCACAATTCTTATAACAAGAAAAAGGTATAAGAAGGGTCTCCTCCCCCCTCTCCGCCATTACACATTATCATTATCCTCAACCATCAACACACTCATCCTCACAATCCAAACCCCTGCCTGACAGCTTCTTCCTCTTCCTCCTTTCATCAAAGAATCCCCATACTTCATTGCCACCATGAGCTTCCACTTGAGCGCCTCGGACGTCCACATTGACGACAACCATATCTTGGTTGCGGTCCTCAGGGATGAGGAGGGCGAGGAGCACGAATCCACACTGGATCTGGATGAGTTCCTGGGAAACAACGAGGGTATGTCCTGTCCATGACGACAGGCTTCCACAAAATCCGGCGAATGATATTCTGACTTCTTTGACTATTTAACCAGGCCGATTCGACTGGGGTGGAAACGGCTTCTCCGGCAGTGCCCGGAATGTGACCTTCTCCATTGAGGGTGGTGGTGAGGTCCCAGTGCTGCGCGCCGAGCTTGCCAACTCGGAGGGCGAGTACTCCCCCGCCGACGTCAACCTGTCCGAGCACATCGAGAACGACAACGGCAAGTTGGTTTACCAGTAGGCGATTGAACGCTTGCCTAGGGAGTTGGCCTGAGAGAATCATACCCGCACGGGGCACCTGCATGGGACACCTGCATGAGTCCAAGCCAAAGAGGTTAGCTGGGCTAGAAATTTGGCATTGCTGCTCATTTCTCTACTGGGTAGTTGGAGATACCGTGTGGACCATGTTGTATTATTCCAGTCTGAATCTATACCAGTGATGTTCGAGCGAGTACCACCAGTAGGCAGCTGAATTTCCGACGAGATGTAAGATAATTAAGGCAACAAGTCAAGTATTGGAACGCAATTAGTATATCCGGTCAAACTCAGTTCCCGACGATTGCCGTTCCGAAAACTTTCCGAAATAATGAAGCCAGACGCCCTGAAATACTCCTACCCGCCATCCATGTATAATATACCCTCTAAGATAAAAGCTCATGCAGCAATGCAAATATGACTTCACCGTGGACCAGTGCGAGCGTTGCAGTCGGAATTAATGAATAAGACGTAAAACGAGTCGGTGCACCATCGTAAGAATCAACTGAAGTAAAGCACGGAGCAATTTGTAAGAAATATGGAAAGGCTCAGCATGATGTGCGTCTACCATGCATGTCTGCCATCGTCAATGTCGATGTCGTTACCATTCCAATCTTCGTCTCCGCTCAATTCGTCGTCGAGGAAGTCTTCTTCGTTGAACTGAGTCTCTGTCGGGCGTTGATTGTCTATTCGAATCATGACGACATCGCACAAGCCTTGAGTGAACAGCGGTTCATCGTCGTCTTCACGAGATCTTCGCCTCTTCCCTGTGATAATAGCTTCATCGTCAGAGTACCTTTTTTGAGCAATGCGCGCACTCTTCCGTTTGTTCGGTGTCATAGTGCCGCTGTGTTGAGTATCGGAATTATGGCTGGCGCCTTCATTGATTCTGGCTCCTGCAGAGTCAGAGGCGTTGAGTAGTAGCGAAGTGCGGGGGATTGAGCGAAGGTCGGGATTGGGCGGAGGACTTCGTCGCTGAAAAACTCTTTGTAGCTTGCCTTTCCATTTCTCACGAAAAGTTGCTCGATCTCGCCACCCTATTTTCAGAATTGCGCTTATCACCAAGCGCCTCAAATTCTCTAAGCTAGGAGCGGCATTGAGAAGCGAGCTGAAGAAGACCTCTGCTGCTCTGTCATCCCAGTTTCGCAACTGGAGGAGCTCGATCTCCCGAAGTGTTGATGGCCAGGTCGGAATCTCAGACTGTGAGAGCAGTTCCCGAAAATGAGGCTCAACGTCGTGGTAACTAGACCAATCATGCATGGATATATCCATCCTGAAGACTTCCAGTTGCTCACATGATACGGCCAAGTTGACAATGAAAGACATACTCAAATGACGGTTATGGCTTAGATTCAGCTCTCGTAGATGGCGGCCATGCGTCGAAAGAAATGAACTAAAGTTAGTGGTCGTTATCTCATCACAGTTGTTTATTGTGAGAGAGGTGAGGGTTGAGGGAAGGTTGGGCAAAAGGTGATCATTGACAATCGAGCATTCTATGAACTCTAAGCGCCGTAGATTGGGAAGGTCAGCAAGGGCCGCGGCCAAAAGTATCTCTTTTTCTGTGGAGCTCTCGGGCAATTGTTTGCTGTATGGATCATCACACATGACGTGCAGGATTCTCAGGTCCTGCATCAGATGAAATGCGGGTTGAATGTGCATCTGTGACATCAGTTCGAGAAGCTTTTGAGTCTCCATGAAACGGCTGTTCCAGTCCCAACTACGAAGGCGGATAGGGCTTGACGAGATTGCATCGAAAAGACTGTCCGGGTAAGTCCATTTTGAGCGCTGAATAAGCCACGGGGGAAGGCCGACAACGTAATCATGACTGTGGTAGAGGCGTAGCGTTTTGACTTGAGGAGTCTTCTCCAGCAACTTGGGCAGCTCAAAATAGCCCAGGGTCGACCCACTCTTGTAGAACAGAAGGGCTTCCACATCAACATGCAGCTGTCTTATTTTATTGATATAGTTTGTGGAAAGCTGATCTTGAGGTTTGGCTAGCAAGTGTAGCAAACCGTGAGACTTAGCAGCGGGTATTAGTGGAGGGCAATGGTAGAGAGCGGCCAAGGCAGGCTCATGAAAAGAACGGCATAGTAGAGCGACTTTGACAAGCCACTGCACGGAGCTCTTTCTGCTGGTAGTCCTTTCGTCAATCAGAGGGTATGATGCACGAACAAATATATCGAGGAGTATGTGGTAGGGAAGCGTCTGCCACGGCGGTATAACACCCGAACCAACATATGGAGCAGCCTCTACTTCGAGCTTTCGACGCTTGTTGAGGGGGCGCCCAATTTCCATCCGCCTCTTCTTGAGAGGCCGGTTTGCCTTCGTTGTCTGTGATCTTGTTCTTACGGTTCGTGTGCGGGTAGGCTTAGGTGGTCTGGCGTGATTGCTTCCCTCGGCGAGTGTGAGAGGTGCATGCGCGGGTGCCGCACTGCGAGTCATGGTATCCATGCCTTCGTCGCTGAAATTGTCAAGCTCATCGTCGGTGGTTTCCTCGCGATAGGAGGCCGGCATCCGGTTCGAGTCTCGAGGGCGCAGAGAAAGCGACAATCGTTCAGCGCGTTCACGATCCGATTCGGTATCCTCATCAAGCCGATCGTCGGAACTGCTGTCTTCGTGGTAGGACTGGACCTGAGTTCGACTAGATCGGACAGGTCGAGATTGTCTCGAAGGGCGCTGACGAGGAGGGGTGCGAAGCGTGGGGGCCATTCTGGGGCGAGGCTATGACGCTGTCACTGTAATGTAGGAAAGTAAGGTAGAGTGGATAGTGGCGCATCTAGACTGAGACTGGAGAGGCTAGCACCAGATCAGCGGAGAACATCGATAAGCTGGTCATCCCAGATGAGTCGCAAGGGGTTAGAGAATGAAATGCAGAAGGGAGTGAGTGTTGAGGAAAGTACCAGGTAGCTGGCGAACTTGAAGGTCGAAGCAGGTGGATGATGTCGCCTGCCTCAGCTCCAAAAGTTCCAGTTCCAGTTTGGATCGAGGCTTCCCTGAACGGGACCGGAAGGGGGTGGTGGGTTTATCGATAAGACTGGATGGAGCCTGGAGTATCATGGATTGGTAGACTGACTACTCCGTAAGTTACTAGTCAAATAGCAATGACGACTTTCGGCCAGACTCAGAGTGAGCGATTGACGGAAAAGGCGTAGTGCCGGGAAGTGATGGCAGAGTGAGGGAATGACTAATACGTACTAAGTTAACTTAGTGTTAACTAGTCGATTCTTGTGGCCTGATTGCTCAGGCGACCGGCGGCTAAAATGCTAAGGGGTGCATGTGACAGGGTGTGACTGCGTGACAGGCAATTGAATGTTCAATCATTTCAAATGAATGCAATTGAAAGCGAATGGCGGCAGTGAAAGGCACACTGACTGCACTGGCCCAGGCATGCCCACTGGCCCAGGCATCAATGTTCCCCGCCCTGAGGCCACCACGCTAAGCCTGGAGAGGGATCGAGGGGAGACCCGAAATAGAAACAGTCAGCTCTCAAGTTCCTAATCTATCATCGGCCTTCTTTAAAGCGCCGCCGTCGTCCAGCCACCCTCTCTCCTCTTTTTCCCTCTTTCCCTTTCTCTCTTCTCCTTCTTTCTCGTCGGGCGCTTGCGAACAACCATGTTGTTTGATCTTTTCGGTCGCTGTTGCGATGAACCTGCATTGATTGCTCCAATACCGTGTCGCTAATTTCCATCCATCCATTGCTTGTTAAGTTTGTATATACCTAACCTACCTACATACGTACAGCTACCGTACGTTATCAACAATACCACTGCACCACCTGCAAACTACCTACCTAGTACCTGCTAGGTACTTCCTCCGGTTTGAGCGAACCTATCACGAGGATCCGATCCCTCCAATCGCGCACTGCAACTATTGGGCTGGCCCCCGAAATACCCGTGCTTTTACAACCGCCGTCTAATAAGACTTGACTTTATATTTTGGCCCGTTCCAGCCCTCGATCTGAGACCTTCCCGCTTCCCTACTATACTTATGCATTCCATCTTGTCTTGTCAGTTCCGTCGCATTTTCATTGATTTCCGGAATCCATCACCGGTAATTCGGTTTAGACCGTTTACCAACGCCCTTTCAAAATGGAAGCTTCGTTTCCAAATGTAATGAACCAGCCGGTCCAACCAGTTCAACCGGTCCAGCCAGACCGGACGGAATTAAGGCCTCCGCCGATGATTATCCAGCAGTACGCCAGGTATCCTGCTCCGGAGCCTGGCTTACATAGCGCATCTTCAATAGGTAGTGCTCGCAGTCAGATTGCCACCTCCAAATCGCCCCCTCTTCACCGCAAAGCTACCCCGCGCAGCTTACAAGCATCGCCAACCGCCCCACGCCCTGGCGTGCCCCCAGTACTAGCACCGGCACAGGTACCAACTCCAGCACCAGCGCCAGCGCCAGCACCAGCGCCAGTGCGCCAAGCACCCTCATTGTCTCCTCCCAACTATGACTCTTTGCGCCAGAGGTCTACTCGAGAACAGATGGAATCGGCTGAGACCCGGTCTCTTCCGTCTCGCGACATCACGGACGCAAACATCGACGATGCATACATTATGTTTATATTCTATTGTAATCCGAATGTTCCTTTGTCGATGGACACCTCGGAGTTACGAAAGACCTTCAGATGCCCTCCACGGAGTGATGGAAAGAGCTTCAGTATATTTGCGCTTTACGAACTGATCAAGAAGCTGGATTGCAAAGAGTTAAAGACCTGGATTCAGCTGGCTATCGAGCTGGGGGTAGAGCCGCCCTGCATGGAAAAGAAACAAAGCACGCAGAAAGTTCAGCAATACGCAGTGCGACTTAAGGTCCGTTCCTTGATTATATTTTTGATGCCTTTTTTTTGTACCAAGAAAAAGTTCGAGCGCTAACTTCCGGTAGCGCTGGATGCGTGCGATGCATGTCGATGCCTTCTTTGAATATTGTCTAGGACACCCTCATCCTTATTATACTCAGCTCCCGCCTAGCGGTATTATAAGCGAG